TTGTCGTCGTCGCCGGTGCATGATCGTGGCACGCAGGTCGTTTCTTCCTGTCGGGGATGAAACGCCAGGAAATCGAAATCCCCTTTTTAAGCATGTTTGCGTTTATGTGCTTCCGCCGGGGGGGGGGGGGGGCTTCCCTCGGGGCGGGTTTCCCTCGGGGCGGGTTTCCCTCGGGGCGGGTTTCGGGGCGGATTTCGGGGCCCGGAAGACCGCCCTCGCTTTCCTTCGGGGCGGGCGGCGGAGAGGCGGAACTCGGGGGACGGGTTACGGAAGCGCCCCCTCGTCGCGGGCTTGATCTTTGCTTTTGGGGTTTGCTTTTGTTGTTGGTATCATTATTGTTATTGTTATTATTATTGTCACTTTGTTGTTAGTGTTATTATTATTGTTATTTTGTTGTTAGTTTTATTATTATTGTTGTTTTGTTATTGTTATTGTTTTGTTGTTAGTTTTATTATTGTTGTTATTATTGTTGTTATTATTGTTGTTATTGGTATTATTGGTATTATTATTATTATTATTGTTGCTATCATTATCATCATCATCACCATTATTGTTGTTGTTTGTTATTATTATTATTGTTATAGTCGGACAATATTCATGGTGACGGTATTGTGATCAGGGATACATTGAATGTTGTTAAGTTTGCATTGCATTTGTCGTGAATGCGATACATTTACCAATACAAATTTGTTAAGAATGACAACAACGAAATAGATGAGTTGTAAAAACCTTTTTGCCTTCGGGATATTTTTTTTATGTTTAGGGAGCTTTATGTTTACGCTTTCGGAACATTTCGCGTGCAAGGAAAATGCGGCTGTAAAATGTTGCTCTCGTGTGAGAAGATTCGTCCCATATGTCCGTACCAAGGATTGTTCTCGTGTTTGCCCGGCCTCCTCTCGCCTCCTCTCCTCTCGTCTCCTCTCCTCTCGTCTCCTCTCCCTTCCTTCTCCCTTCCTCTCCTCTCCCTTCCTTCTGTCTTCCTCTCCTCTCGTCTCCTCTCCCTTCCTTCTATCTCTCCTCTCCTCTCCTCTTTCTCTCCTCTCGTCTTTCCCTCTCCAGCTGCCCCCCCTCGCCCTCCCCTCGCCCTCCCCTCGCCCTCCCCTCGCCCTCCCCTCTCCCTCCCCTCTCCCTCCCCTCGCCCTCCCCTCGCCGCCCAGCTCGACGTTGGGCGCCCGAGCGAGGCAGCGTCCTTTGTCCCCAGCGTTGGGGCGTGCACGTGTGGCGCGAATGGCGGGCGGCCTCCGAATCCGACGGGCGTTAGGGGCGGCGTGCTATGGGCGGGGCGTGCATGGCTGGCGGGCGCGGGGATTAGAGCTTCGGTGGCCCTCGGGAGGACTTAAGGTTAGGTCCCGCTGCCGTTGCTCCGTGGGGCTCCCTCTTTGATCCCCGCACGTCCGCTCGCCGGGGGGGTCAGGGGGACCTCGGACGTTACTGCGCCATAAACCGTGGAAGTGTCGCCCTGCGCTCGGGGCGGGCGGGCGGGCGGTCGCGGGGGTATCTCGGGCTGCCGCAAGTGCCACCGGGGAGCACTGCGGGCGGGGATCCCATGTTCCGGCGAGCCAATATGTATTGCAGACGTCCTTCGGCAGGGCCTCGGGAGAAGACCAACGGCACGCAGCATCGACGGGGTCATTGCCGCGCGAGGGACGAGAACGGACGGGGCGAGGCTATGAGGCGACGGCCGAGCGCTCTCCGGAGGCCCCGAGTGTCCAATACAACGCTCTGCTAATGGATGATAGGTTGGGCTGCAGAGAACGACGCGGGGGCGAGCGAGCGCATGATCTCGGTTCCCACGGGTCGCGGCGGCTCCCTCGAGTACTTACTTGGTTCGAGACAACGGCGTACAATCCGATCACGGGGCCGGCCAAGAGCTCTCTCTCTCTCTCCCTCCCTCCCTCCCTCCCTCCCTCCCTCCCTCTCTCCCTCCTTCCCTCCCTCCCTCCCTCCCTCCCTCCCTCCCTCCCTCCCCTCCTTCCCTCCCTCCCTCCCTCCCTCTATCCCTCTCTCCCTCTTTCCCTCTCTCCCTCCCTCCCTCTCTCCCTCCCTCCCTCTCTCCCTCCCTCCCTCTCTCTCCCTCCCTCCCTCCCTCTCTCCCTCCCTCCCTCCCTCCCTCCCACCCTCTTTCCCTCTCCCTCCCTCTCTCCCTCCCTCCTCTCCCTCTCTCCCTCCTCTCCCTCTCTCCCTCTCTCCCTCCCTCCCTCTCTCCCTCTCTCCCTCTCTCCCTCTCTCCCTCTCTCCCTCCCTCCCTCTCTCCCTCCCTCCCTCTCTCCCTCTCTCCCTCTCTCTCTCCCTCTCTCCCTCTCTCCCTCTCTCCCTCTCTCTCTCTCTCTCTCTCTCTCTCTCTCTCTCCCTCTCTCCCTCTCTCTCTCTCTCCCTCTCTCCCTCTCTCCCTCTCTCCTCTCTCTCTCTCTCTCTCTCTCTCTCTCTCTCTCTCTCTCTCTCTCTCTCTCTCTCTCTCTCTCTCTCTCTCTCTCTCTCTCTCTCTCCCTCTCTCCCTCTCTCTCTCTCTCTCTCTCTCTCGCTGCGAACGTATACGAGCGTGAGTTAGAGGGAGCTTAGATGTTTTCCGATCGGATTACGGAGGCATCGTTGTTAGATCGAAAGGGGAAACGGGGGGGGGAGGGGGGGGGGTTCGGACTCGCGGTATGTCCGTGTGCCAGTTGGTGATGTAAGTATTTCGGCTTTGGTAACTACGATTGCAATTTGCACCGTGAACGACAGGAGATGCGGTTTCACACTCGTAAAAAAATGGCAAAAAAAGTGAATAAGAAAGAAAGAGAGAAACAAAGAAAACAAAGTAAGTAAGTAAGTAAGTAAAAAAGTAAGTAAAGTGAATACATATAAAAAGATATTCAAAGCAAGGAGGTGTGACGTTGCTTCTTCACCACGTGTACCAGGAGCTTCTTTTGTCAGGCACGAGAGCATACAAAGAAATCTTACTAAACAGGGACTGTATTAATACACTTTAGGCGCTGGCCTTGGTAGGTCTGAGCCGCGTGTGAGCGTGGGGGCGGCGGCGGCAGCGGAGGAGGAGGAGGAGGAGGAGGAGGAGGAGGAGGAGGAGGAGGAGGAGGAGGAGGAGGAGGAGGAGGAGGAGGAGGAGGAGGAGGAGGAGAGGAGGAGGAGAAGGAGGAGGAGGAGGAGGAGGAGGAGTGGGAGGAGGAGTGAGGAGTGAGGAGAAGAAGAAGAAGAAGAAGAAGAAGAAGAAGAAGAAGAAGAAGAAGAAGAAGAAGAAGAAGAAGAAGGAAAAGGAGAAGGAGAGGGGTGAGAGTGGGAGTGGGAGTGGGAGTGAGAGTGGGAGTGGGAGTGGGAAAGAGTGGGAGAGGGAGTGGGAGTCGGAGGGAGTAGGAGTGGGAAAGGGAGAGGGAGAGAGGGAAAGAGTGGGAGTAGGAATAGGAGTAGGAGAGGGAGTAGGAATAGGAAGAGGAAAAGAAAAAGGAAAACGAAGACGAAGAAAACGAGAAAGACAAAAACGAGTAGAAATAGAAATAGAAGTAGAAGGAAAAGAAAAAAAAGAAGTAGACGTAGAAGTAGAAGTAGAAGAAGAAGAAGAAGAAGAAGAAGAAGAAGAAGAAGAAGAAGAAGAAGAAGAAGAAGAAGAAGAAGAAGAAGAAGAAGAAGAAGAAGAAGAAGAAGAAGAAGAGAGTAGGAGGGGGAGGGAAAGGGGAGGTGGAAGGGGAGGGCGACAGGCCTCCCGGGCAGAGGGAGTGCCAGGCTCTCCCAGCCACATGTTAGTGCCATCACTCCTCGAGGCTGTTATGCCGAGGACGGGGACGCGTCGGGGAACGGCTGCTGCGAGCTATTTTTGCGTGCGAATTTTGCTTTGCTTGATTAGTTACGTGCGAATTTTGCCTAGTTTGGTTGCTCATGTCCAACTTCGTCTTTGTTTGAGAGCGTCTGTTGCTCTGTTTAAGTACGGATCTTGCTTTGTTTGAGACGTGTGGGCAGTTTAAGTTGTTTGCTTTTATATTGGGCTCTTGTTTGGTTGTGTGCGCGAAATGTTAGCTTCGTTTGAGCATGTGCGTGAAAAGGAAGCTTCGTTTGAGTATGTACGCGAAAAGGAAGCTTCGTTTGAGTGTGTGCGCGAAATTTTAGCCTCCTTTGAGTATGTGCGCGAAAAGGAAGCTTCGTTTGAGTGTGCGTTCGCCTTGCTTTGTTTGGGGTCTGATCGTGCGCAAAATTTCTTCCTTAAAAGAGAGGCAGCGACGTGTCGTTCTCTGCGTTCTCGTTCTTGCAACTCTTTGTGACAGAAGGTTCGGTGCGTCCGAGCGGAGGGAGGGTCCGGCAGCATTGCAAGTGACATTGCGAGAGTGCTAATCCTAAGGCTCCTGGTTCTTTGTTCCTTTTCTTCTTCGTCGTCGTCGTCGTCGTCGGTTTTTTTTTTCTTGTTTCCTTTGTTGATTTTCCTTTTTTTCTCTTTCTTTCTTTTCTATTTTTCTTCTCTTCTTTCTTTTTTTCCCCTTTTTTATCTGAACGAACGTCCGACGGCTCGGCTTCACGTGCGAATATCGAAGGGAATTCGGTGCGATTTCAGCCTTGCATGCGATGGGGGTTATTGCAACTGCAGCTCTGGGTAGAGTCCGCGCCGGGTGTCGAATGCAGCCGAGTGGTCGTGGCGGCCGAGTGGAACTGTGTGCGTGTTTGCGGGAGTGGTGTGTGTGTGTGTGTGTGTGGGTGGGTGGGTGAGGGTGGGTGTGGGTGGATGTGGGAGTGGTTTGTGTGTGGTCCGGTTTGTGCTGGGAAGGTGTGTTGTGTCTCTGGAATGCCTTTGGAAAGTGGTGTACGTCGAAGTGGTGGTGTTGCAATAGTGTTGGTGCGGCTTGGAGTAGTGGGTGGTGCGCGTGGGGGGGGGGGGGGGGGTGGTGTTCGAAGTGTGGTCCGAGTGTTGGCGCGCTGTGCTTTGAAGCGGTGTGTACATCGGGGGGTGGGGTGTTGTCTCGGAATGGTGTGCTTCGCGGCGAGTGTATCCCGGAGTGGTGTTGTGCCTCGGTGCGGTGAGTTCATGTGAGTGTCGGTATGAGTGTTGCGAGGGCTATGTGTCCCACATAGACCACTGGTCTCTGGCGATGTGTCTCTTGGCGAGGGTCTCTTGACGATGTGTCTCTTGACGATGTGTCTCTGACGATGTGTCTCTTGGCGATGTGTCTCTGGTGATGCGTATTCTTGGTGCTGAGTCTCTGGGCGATGTGTCTCTGGCGATGCGTCTCTGGCGATGTGGTCTCTTGGCGATGTGTCTTTGGCGATGTGTCTCTTGGCGATGTGTCTCTTGGCGATGGTTCTCTTGGGATGTGTCTCTTGGCGATGTGTCTCTTGGCTATGTGTCTCTTGGCGATGTGTCTCTTGGCGATGTGTCTCTTGGCGATGTGTCTCTTGGCGATGTGTCTCTTGGCGATGTGTCTCTTGGCGATGCGTCTCTTGGCGATGCGTCTCTTGGCGATGTGTCTCTTGGCGATGTGTCTCTTGGCGATGTGTCTCTTGGCGATGTGTCTCTTGGCGATGCGTCTCTTGGCGATGCGTCTCTTGGCTATGTGTCTCTTGGCGATGCGTCTCTTGGCGATGGGTCTCTTGGCGATGTGTCTCTTGGCGATGCGTCTCTTGGCGATGTGTCTCTTGGCGATGTGTCTCTTGGCGATGCGTCTCTTGGCGATGTGTCTCTTGGCGATGCGTCTCTTGGCGATGTGTCTCTTGGCGATGTGTCTCTTGGCGATGCGTCTCTTGGCGATGCATCTCCTGGCGATGCGTCTCTTGGCGATGCGTCTCTTGGCGATGCGTCTCTTGGCGATGCGTCTCTTGGCGATGCGTCTCTTGGCGATGTGTCTCTTGGCGATGCGTCTCTTGGCGATGTGTCTCTTGGCGATGTGTCTCTTGGCGATGTGTCTCTTGGCGATGTGTCTCGTCCGTTCACTGTGCGTGTTGGGAGGTGTGGTTATGTCATCATTTGCTTCCACGCCATCCACGCCTACGTGTATGTCCGTGGAGTTTTAGGAGACCCAGTTGGGAATTGAGAAATTATGTAACTTGGGACAGACAGAATTTATAATGATCATCATAATTATTTATAATTATCATCATCACCATCATCATTATTGCTACTGTTGTTGTTGTTATTCTTATTCTTGCCATCATCATCATCATCGTTATTGGATAAATATCATTAGTATGCCGTCCGTTTTTATTATTATTATTATTATGCTACTGATGTTGTTGTCGTTGGCGTTGGCGTTGTTGTTGTCGTTGGCGTTGTTGTTGCTGTTGCAGAGTCGAGCGGCGCCAAGAAACGGCCTCCTCGAGCGGCGCGAAGATGGCTATTAACCCTTTCGTTCCTTCTGCTTTGCTGCGCCCGGGTCGTGGCAGCGACAGAGGAACGGTGCCGGATTGTTTGTTTTTTCTTTTGGGAAGTTAAGTTTGTGTCTGTGTTTGTGTGTGTGTGTTTTTTTTTCTTCTTTTGTGTGTGTGTGTGTGTGTGTGTGTGTGTGTGTGTGTGTGTGTGTGTGTGTGTGTGTGTGTGTGTGTGTGTGTGTGTGTGTGTGTGTGTGTGTGTGTGTACGTGTGTACGTGTGTACGTGTGTACCTGTATACGTTTATACGTGTATACGTATATACGTGATATACGTGTATGTGCCTGTATGTGCCTGTGTACATGTATACGTATGTACCTTTGTACGTGTATGTATGTGCGCATTGTGAGTGTTTTCGTGTTTGCGTCCTTGGACCTATTTGTATATAGCCTAAATGCATATGTATACAAATATATGTATACATATTTATACATACATACATACATACATACATACATACATACATTCATGCATACATACATACATAGTCAGACAGACAGACAGACACACAGACAGACAGACACACAGACACACAGACATGCATACATACAGACATGCATACATACAGACATGCATACATACAGACATGCATATATACATACATACATACATACATACATACATACATACATACATACATACATAAGCTTACAGAACATACTTACTGCGCTGTTCCCTGCAAAGATCGGTAGCCTTTCCGGGGTAACGCCCATTTTTTTCGGATCCGAGGTTGAAGTGACTGACCATAAAGTCTTAGGTTTCTTCCTCGCGCCTTATTTGACAGCAGCGCCTCGGCCGTGCCTCGAATTTCCTCGGGGGGGGGGGGGGGGGTTATTGTCTGCGTCGGGGTGTTCAGCGTCGGTTGAAGTGGCTCGGGTGTGGTTTTATGTGCGTCTTGCATCGGTGCCAGACTGTACGTGTGCGTATGGTGTAGGGTGTTCGATCCGTCGATACACACACACACACACACACACACACACACACACACACACACACACACACACACACACACACACACACACACACACACACACACACACACACACACACACATATACATACACACACGTATGTATGGACTTTATAGGAGGGTGTTTGTTTCATAGGGTTTACCTTTAGGTGAAACGGGTATTTAATGGTGGTTAGATAAAGCAGTGAGTCA